TCCTTTAGATTAAATCATATCTGCCGGAAGTGAAACATGACCAGGTGTAAATGACATGGGAAGGATGCTGCAGAAACCACTCTCAGGACACCGTACTTCAGCCTTTTCCCCACGTCTCCTTCAGGATGGAGCCCCACACGCTTTGCAAAACTCATGTCCCACAGGGCCTCATGTCTGGGGCCAGGTGCCTGTTTTCTGAATGAGGATGCGGAGTTGCAATTTAAACCTCTTAATTCAATAGCCCAAGACTTGTTTTCTGAAGCACTAGAATGTTCTTCAAACACACCTGCAGGAGTCTCATGCAGAATTCTTAGAGACACTAAAGGGCAATTAGCAAAGGAGATCACAGAGTGAGAAACTGCCGGGTGAATTCCAGCTCTGCCGTTTACTAGCTATGTGACCCTGGCAAGCTACTTAAACATCTCTGCCTCAGTTTCTTCTTCTATGAAAAGAGGATTTTAAAAAATGCTACCTACCTCAAAGGCCTGCAGTGAACATGAGATGAGTTAGACGTGTCAATGTTCCAACAGCTCCTGGAAAAAAAAATCAATAAAGTTTGGCTGTTATCTTATTATCAAAGATGAGGGAAGGGATACAAGATTGTAAAAGGTCATTCACTGACTGACCAGTTTTTAAAATGGACACTTTCTATAATCTTCATGTTATGGTCAGGACAGGTTAACTGCTATAATGAAAGATCCCCAAGTTCATTGGTTTAATACCATAGAAGCTTATTTCTTGCTCTAGTCATATGCAAAGCATGTGGCCCCAATCAGCAGGCAGCTCTCCTCCAGACATCAAGCATCCTTCCATCTTGTGGCTTGACTTCTCCATGCAGGACTCCAAGGTGGCCCTGGGCTTGTCTCCTCTCCAGCTAGTTGAAGCAGGATGTGGAAGGAGTGGCAGGGGAAGTTTGACGGCCATGCCTACTGCTGGGACCTATCAAGTGACCCACAAGCCTTTGGCCAGAACCCAGCCTATGGCCACACGTAACTGCAAAGGCAACAGGGGTCAGCAGCTAGCATCTCTACTACCCTCCATCAAGAGATTTATATGAGGATGACATGACCTTCAAAATCCCCTCCCCCCCAAAATCTGAATTTGGTTTCGATTTCCAGTTTAGTTTCTCCCTAGCCATGGCCCACTCAAAATTTAGTATGTACCAGGATTTTCTGCATTTAAACTATGCTCTGAGGAATGAGAATTCTTTATATATTCTAAATTAAGAGTGTCTTTTATTCTGTTTGTATTGTTTTTCAAGAATTTTATAAATGACTAGTTGGATTTTTTTCTCTTCCAATGACATTTTTGCAGCGTCACTCATTGCCTTTTGATAATCTCCTGATTCACAGATTTGTTAACATATTTCATCAAATGAATAGTTGGCTTATATTTCATGCAGGAGAAAAAACTCCCAGAATCTAAAATGTGAAACATGCCAGGAACTGATGCTCAGTAAGCAGGCTGCCAAGTGGCTAATGTAACACCACTACTTCTAGATTATATCTAAGTTCAAAATTATAACTAAAACTATAACATGGACTCAAAAGCTATTGAAACTATCAAAAGCACCATTATTTATTCTTGACTTTATAAAGTGCTACATTTGTTTTTTTAAATGCTTAAATTTTTTTAAATGCTAACATTTTCATTTCTAACAGGGAGCGACAGGGATATCTAGGTTTGGGAGTGATTTGCAGATTCTGTGTGAACAAGTAAAATCTTTCAAAGTGGTGATGGCCTAAGTGTTACCACAAAAGGTCATATGAATGATTAGCATCTCAAATGTAATATATCTATAAGTACAAAAATGTAAAAAATGAAATGGTAAAATAATCTTTCAGAAGTTAAAATATGAATAGAATAAAAAACAAAATAGGATACAACAGGAAAAAATATACATTAAAACTTGGCTCTTAATACTTAGAAATTACCAATGAAGATTGAGAGATTACTTAAGAAATTAGAAAAAAAAATCTAAACCTAAAAATGCCCTCTGAATAAACTTAGTTAAAAACAAATTGATATTCTAGCAGAGAAACTTCCATAAAAAATCCTAAAATTGGGGTTCCTGGTAAAAAAAATATGCTTTAATGGATCCTAAATATATTTATTCATAAGAGGACTATATTGCCTTATGATTATTAGCTTTCAAAAAATAGAACTTTACTTCAATACTTCCAGACAATACTGACAAAACTGAAAGCCTGTTAACTAAATCTTTCCAGAAAACTGTTTGCTATTAAAGTCACTCCTATTCAACATGAGTAATAAATTCGGCAAATCAGAAAATGTGGCAAATTCAATGAACTGATTATCAGGCAAGTTTTATTTCCATAAAAATCAAATGTTGGCAAATCGCCTTTTATTGTAGTTACCTAAAATCAACCAACGTCTGCTCCTGCTTTCACAAATGAGAGAGTTAAAACAGCATGGCATCCTTGGCAAAAGCCCAGTCATGTTTTGTACAAATTGACCGTAATTTACAAATGGTTAATTGGCCCTATTTCAGCTCTGAGCTCTTGTGTGTTAGTTATTACTAATGCCTCCTTCCGGTGGGAGGAGCTGAACTGCCAAAATGTTATTAACAGGGTACTGCCATGAACAAGGCCAAAAATGAGTTCCATGTGTCATCCTTATTAGAAGCATGTAGCCTCAGACATTAATCAAATGAATTAATTAATTTCCTGCCTTTATTAGTCTCCTACGGCTGATGTAACAATTAATCGCAAACTGCATCAGACAACAGGAAGTCATTCTGCCATTGTTGTGGAGGTCAGAAGTCCGAAATCAAGGTGGTAGCAGGGCTGTGCCCTCATCTGCTCTGCACCCTTCTCTTAGCTCCTGGTGCTGCCTGCAGGGCTTGGCGAGTGGTCATGGAACTCCAGCGTTAAGTGCTACACGCCTCCTGGTCACATGGTTTCTGTGTGTCTTCACATCATCTTCCAACGAGGACAACAGTCATACTGGATTAAGGGCCCATCAGTATGGCCTCATCGTAACTAGTTACATCTGCAATGACCCTCTCTCCAATAATGCCAGGAATGGGGCTTAGGATGCCAGCATTTCTTTTGGAAGACACAAGTCAATTCACAGCACTGCCTTGCCCTCGCCTCTCAGACATTTGTGGGTAATGAGTTATTTTAGGCAGTTCTCTCTCATGTCCTTGGTCATTTCTTTTTCTAATTTATTGGGAAAAATGTTTTAAGTGATAAATTGTACATACCAAGAAGTGGGCTAATACAAGAGTCGTTTTGGTTGAATTGAACTTTGTAAAATCTTACTGGAAAACCTGGCTGAAAGAGAGGATGCAAGTCCCAGTCAACTGATTTTTCTGCAGCAGCTTCACTTGCCTCAGCAGCCTTGGAGTCCACATTTTCTAGAACAAGTCCAATTTAGTGCAATTGTATTTTTATTCCATAAAATTGGTATGGGGAGCACTTAAAGGCAATATAATTGTAATGCTCCTTAAGGCTTATCAAACAAATAAATTCACAAATAAGAAAATCTCTTTTGTTAAATGTCCCAATTTGGAGATGGGGAGATTTGTCACTAACTGTTGGAGATAAAAACTCAGAGGCTGGTGAAAATTTTGGCAGGAGGGTACCCAGGATGGCCTGATCTCTGGAGAAGAGGCCAGGGTGTGCTGGGCTGCAGGAACATCCAGTCTGTCTCTCTCTGGGTACCACACCACTAACAGGCAGGACACCATGATTTCATAATAATTTAGTTCTTAGAACTTCGTCCCTTCCATCCTTCTTCCTGGTAATTAAATGTCTGAAGAAGGAATTTGAAAGCAATAATCAAAAAGGAAACAGCGCCAGTGCTGGCACCAACAAAGGAAAGGCCCACCAGCTGAGATGAAGCCAGCATTGGGAGCAGAACCAGGCCCAGGGACGGGAGCAGTCCTGACACCAGGCTCCCCACTGCGGGAGCTGGGCCTGACCACTGGGCTGCAAGTCCACTTTCATGGGACAAGCTAGGTCTCAAGAGGATGACAAAAAATTCAACATGTGGCATGAGATAAAGAGAGAAGAGAGGTTTCTCTCAGCAGTGAGAATGGAGGAAAGGAGCCTCCACGATAAAGGAAGGAGAGAGAGAGCAGCAGACGGGCCCAGTGGGCAGCCGTTCTGGACCCTGGCCTGGAAGCTCTAACAGGAGAAGAGGGACCAGCCACCGAGGAGGCGGGGGGTCAGGAGAAGCCCAGCAAAGATCTACTGCGCTTAGCACGGTACCAGGCACTGCATCAGGAGCTCGGGATGCAAATGGGAACAGACGCGGTACTGCTCTCAAGTTTACTGTCAGACTTAGAAACATGCCTGACACTACGGTCCCCAGGGTAGAGGTACACTGAAGGGCAGAGGGAGAGGTGGGCCCAGCATCTCGCACACCGCTCAGGGGCAGGCACTGCAGAGGACGAGAACGCACTCACTGGAGGGACAGGTGGAGGAGGGGTCCTCCCGGCACACAGCTGTTGCTGGAGCACTTGTAGTGAGATGGCCAGCAGCTCAGCAGGGACCTCTATGAAGACCCTGGGTGCCAGGGAAGGGACTTCAGACTTTGTCCCCATGTCAGTGGGAGGCACTGGAAAATTCTGGTGAGGAAAGTACCATTATCTGATTTGCGGGACACAAGATCTCTCTGGACCCTTTTTGGAGGTTGGCACAGAGAGAGAATGGAGGCAGGGAGGCTTGATGTGAGGCTACCGGCTCACTGCATCTGAACAAGGTTGAGCAGTGTCGGGTGGGTAGGGGTGGCAAGCAGGCACGGGAGAGGGCATTTAAGGAAGAGAATCAACAGTGCTTGGGAAGAAGGGGAAAGGAGGCCCCACAAAGACGCTCTTATCTCCGGGCAGCTTCCTGCAGTGTGGTGACTTGCGGACAGGTGACACAGAGGGTGGGGATACTGGACAGGCTGCATGCATGTCACAGGAAGTGATGTGTACAGCCCTCAAGTACAGGCTGTGACTCACCTGCCTAAGGGACATTCAGGTGGACGTACATGTCCAGTGTTTGGAAGAAAGGTTCTAGAGAAGGAAACAGAGATTTTTAGCACAATGAGCATGTAGGTAACAGGTGGAAACCTTGCTGTGAATGAAATCATCCAAGCTAAGTAGGAAGTGTGAAAAAAAAGCCTAGATGGTAGGAGACAGAACCCAGGGACATTTATATCTAAAGGACAGGCACAGGTAAAAAAAAGAAAGAAAAATCCACAAGGAGATTGAGAAGAGTCCAGAAATTATAGGAAGACCAGGAAAGTAGTGTCAGGAAACCCAAGTGACTAAGGAACTTCCAGAAGGAGGACGTCACCTGCCCTGAATGCCAAAGAAGCCAAATGCCCACTGGATTAGAGCACAAGGTGCTCAGGCAGTCTTCGAGGGGCGCTGACAATGCTCTGGGTTTCAGTGGGGATCACAAGTGACGGGAGGCATGTGTGCACTTGTGACTCTCGCCACCACTCGGAACCCTGCTTCCAAGGAGGGAAGAGGGACAGCTGAGCTGACTCTATGCTGCTGGTCTGCCAAAGAAAAGGGACAAAGGCAGGTAAGAACTGGTACAAGGAGTTGAAATGCTGTATGGAGGGGTCCGGGCTGGAAAGGAAAGGAGGTGGAGGTAAGAAGGGGCTCGTTACGCCTGGAGAATGTGGAGGAGAAAAGAACCAATGGTCAGGACTGGCGGGGGCCGGGGGTTGCTTTTCTTCCCAGCGTTGGCCTCAGCTTAACATTCGGTGGGTCACCAATCTCTGGCCTGCTGTTGCCGCCAGCTCCGTGTGAGAAAAGACGGCGTGCACTTGGTTCACTGGGGTATCCCAGTCCTGGCACAGCGCCTGGAGCACAGTAGGTGTTAATTAAATCCCCGTGAATGTTGGATGAGAGCTGGGGCTCCAGGAGAGACTATATTGCACACAGAGAGGCACCTGGCCTCTCCCACAGGATAGTGAGCTCCAAGGCAGAGCGGCTGCGACTGGCGGCTCAGGGGAGCGGAGGACCACGGAGGTGAAGAGGGCGGCGTGCAGGGCCCAGGAGGCCCGCGGGTACACTGGCATCGTCAGCTATGTGGTCTGCAAGCGGAACTGCAGAGCTAAGAGACCGCAGTCACCTCATGGCCGCATGGTCTGCAAGTCACAGGACCCAAGAGAAGGGGCAGCTGGACAGCAAGTGGCCTCCTCAACCCAGGGCAAGGTGCGCAGGGTGTCACCTTGGGCAGCATGGGGCAGAAGGGAAGAGCCGATGCAAGTCGGCAGGGCCGTGTGACTTTCGGCTTCCTCAGGGAAGCCCGTGGCAGAGAGGAAGGAAAGCAAAGGCGAGCAAGGGGCTGAGAGGCCAAAATCAGCTGGTCTCACCTTCTGACCTGAACTCAGTCAGAAAGCGTGGGAGGCCCCGGTGTGGAGAGGCACTAACGGCCGCCGGCAGCTGGCACTGGCTGCAGGGAGTGCTCGCTTAGGGACTCCCAGGCCAAAAGAATCATTATGAAGAAAAATATTCTGTCCATGGGTGCGTCTCAGTTTTAGGCATAAATTAACTGAAAATCAGTTGACACAACTGTTTCATTTCAGCTTTTCAAAATTCCTCTGCAAAATCTTTTCTTTCTGCGCGGGTGTTGGGTCAGACCTGCCTTTGCTATCTGCAACAATCACATTCACTCCTGTCACCCCAGGACAGACATGCAGGAAGTACCTTGTGTGTGCCAGGAAGGGTCTCTGTTAGGCATTCCTTCATTTTCTAACCAAAGCGTTTGAGTACCTACTGTGTGCCAGACACCACATTAGTTTCTGGGGAAATAATAATAACCAAGAAAGTGATGGTCTATAGCCCTGAAGGGGACAGATCATTGTTGACATCTCTCTGGTCTATCCCCAACCTAACACCTCCACAGCCACCACTGTCACCCCATTATTTCTTTCACGGCTTTTGGCCACAGCCTTCTAACCCCCTTGCCTGTCACAGTAGCAAGCTCTTCTGATTCATACTACGGTCATATTACAGATTATTTTTCAAATAACCACTCAAGTAAGTGCTAAGTAACCACATGATTGTATGTCTCAACACAGTATACAATGCTGTGGGGCTGTATATTTGGGGTTTTGACCAAATGGAAGGGCCAAAGGGTTCCCCTGAGGACCCAACTACTGCACTGAGCAAGCGGGTGTTAGTCCAAGGGGAGCGTGTGAGAAGAGCTTCCTCGGGCCTTGCACACCACCAGGTCAGCTCTTCCTTGCTGCCGCACCCTCCCTCCGCCTGAAGCGTCACTGGCCAGGGCTGCTCATTATCCAGGGCGCAGCACCAACCCAGGTCCTCCACAGGGGCTGCTGGCCGCACCCTGCTCCCCCAACCACTCCTCCCTGCGTGTGCCCCTTCTGCCAGCCAGTGGTCTGCCATGGAACCTCTAACCCCTTCTGCAGGGGACACAGGTGGTCAAGTCCCTCATGTCTGCTTACCACTCTATCCAGCAGCTAATACAACACCAGGTGTGCTTGCAGAGAAACAGAACCATTAGTGTGTGTGTGTGTGTGTGTGTGTGTGTGTGTGTGTGTGTGTGTGTGTGTGTGTGTG